GTTAAATGGTCGGCCCCTAATATCGCGGAAGTTAGTTCGGTGAACTACCCTGATTTTTTGTTTACAAATCATATTCATCATTACGCATTCCTGAAGTAAAATTTTAAAAAAATTTATCGAGTGGAAATTTTTTTACATTTTAAAACAGCATTTTCCTAAATAATTCAAGTTCTACTAGATATGTTTTTTTTTATATCACGTATACAGGTAGAAAATGTGATGATGTTCAAGAAATTTGAAAAAAAAATAGGTCACCGACTTGGTTTTTAGATATCTTTCAAAAACTGAGTTTTAGAAGGTCTTTTAGCACTACTGTCCTGCTGTTGCCATGGCAACTGATAATGCCTAACGAACCCCCTTAAAAGACTGCGCTGACATAGGGTTAGGGATATGTCAAGTCATTATCCTGATAATAAGTTTGACAGTCCTGATATCTTTTACTGATTGGCACTTGCTGTTAATTGTGGAAAACCCTTTCGAGCCTCCTTAAGCGAGAGTTAAAGGAATAAACGAAATGAAAAAGTTAAAGACAATTCAATTTTCTTGAAGTCTGATAGATATAAAACACAACCCAATTGGTTGAATTTGCAGGTAGATTTTCAGTTTGTAGTAGCTGCAATGCAAAGTTAGCTTAATGATTATGCAAAAACGCAGGAAATGAGGGTTTTCCCAGAGAGACCCTTTGCCTCCCAGGGAATTAAATGTTTTGACGTATTATTTTCACACGTTTGTTAACTCATGAGCGAAATAGGGGATTTGAGGTTTATCGCCCCTTGCCCGGTTTCTCATGGACACGCTCTTAATGCCATATGAAAGCAATATAACTATTTAAACAAATGCATCTTACATGCTTTACAAAAACTGAACATTTACCTGTAGTTTGGTGAAAAAAAAATGCAATCTTGAACTGATCGATTAAGAGACATAGAGAAAAACACCGATATACGGTTTTTTAATTGTATATCAAGTGCACTTCTCCCTTGCTTTTCAAGAAAAACTTCTTACGGTAAACTTCTTGCAGTTCATGTTTAGGTCGGAAAGCTTTCCTGTTTCGCGACAGCTAAGCTGCTAGCATCTTCTAGTCTCGAGCGAGAATCCTTAATAATAATTATGCAGAGTAAGTAAATCCAAAGCTGCCATTTCGTTTTCTATCGGATCATGGGTAGATTGAATCAGGTTTTCGGCTACATTCGTCTTTTTTCGCTGGCTAATGCTTCGGTTTTCTTTCGTTCCTGCACAGAATTCTCTATTTCCCCATTACAATCAGTGATTTGACTGCAGAATAATACATCACCAGCGAATTTAAAAGAGACTTACTTTTGAAGGAAGCTTTAGGGGAAGTTAAAACTTGTATGATTGTGGCCAGGAGGGATGGGAGGGAGGTGAAACTAAGCTAAGGCTTGCAGCTCGTGCCTAGAGCAAATGAAGATAGGTTATAGAAATTTAAGAATTAAATAGAAACTTGGCCTCAATGTAAGCTAGTTTCAGTAAGGCACCAAATCGTGTGAAGTTTTTTTTCTTGTTGTTTTTTTTTCTTGTGGGTACCCCGTTCTGACAGCCCCTTCGCTTTGTGGTGTATATACACTACCACGCTCGCAGGCTCATGACAGCGTTGCGTTACCTCCGATTTCCTCCAAATCTGGTGTGTATGACGTTGAAATATCCAACAAATCACGTACCGAGTTTGGTGGTAGACGTTTGAATGTATCGTACACAACACTCACTTCAAATTTCAAGTTTCACCCTTGTAGATGGTATTGCATATTATAACCCACTCATTAATTTTGGCGCGATTTTATTGGTTACTTTACGTCACGTGGGGAAAAATCACAGGACAGTTATCACGCAGTAACCCCCGTCTGCGTCGATATTTGTCCTCCGATTTTTTCCATGAAAAAGAAACATAGTCAACACGAGGGATTCCGTTTTCCTATTTACATGTAAGGAAACCAAACTCGTTTTTTAGAGTCTAGCGATAGTGACATTAATGAACAGTTCTTTCTGCTCAAGTTTTTGAACAGCACGTCGGAATATGTGAACCGGAAGCGCCAAGTTTTCGAGATTTTGATCTAAGGGGCGTCATGAGAGTTAATTTCAAATGACAGCTAGTCAAGTTATGGTCCAATCACACTGAAAATAAAGTTTTTTAAACCAATCAAATGTACCTGCTTGCTTGCGTTCATCACGCGCAATCGCCATCAGATCACCACTGGCTTTTTTACTGTGTTTACGCGCAGTTTAATTGCGATATGAAAATTAAGAGGAGGGTGGTAGCATGAATAAACCCCGTTCTGGCTTGCTGGTATGTCGGCTGACAATGTCCTTGGCTAAGAGATTGTCCTCAAAATTTCATATTTGTCCTCGAAGCCTCGCTTCTCAGCCAAAC